TAAAAAAAATGTGATACACATAAATTTATATTTTATTTAAAAATAGAAACATTATTGTTTTTTCAAAATCACAAAAAATCATATCATAACATTAATTAAGATAAAAAATAAAATATTAAAATTAAGATATATTTTATTGCATTGTACGAAAACCATTCTAGTAATATAAAAAGAAAATGTATCAAAATAACATAATAATACGATAAAAACAAAAACGACATCGTGCTGTCCGTCTTCTGGGCCTTTTTCTGTTTGGTTCTTCTGTTTTCGGTGAAACCTAACGTAGTAGTTGAATTTAGGGTTTTTTTTAGCAGAAAAGTCTGTTATTGAAGCAATTTACAGAGTTTCAGCACTTCCATTTGGGATCTTACTGTAACATGCTTTGAGCTTTTGAAGCTTCCTGCCGATTCACCACCTCGTAAACCTAGCATCGGATTTTAACGTAAGCGATTCCAGTTGCTTATAAATTTTACTTGATCTACTTTCATATCCTGATTGCTTTTATTGTTCATCGTTGCAGCTCAGAATTCTCGATTCATCAGGTTTGCATCATCAAACCCTAATTTATTTTTTAAACACAAAATCTGCTTTCAACTGACGGTTTACTTTCACAATTTTTCCTTGTAATTGAAATGGATACGGAAAACTGTATCAGAAATAGCTAGATCGTTCTTGAGATGATTCTGAAATTTGTTTGTTTTAATTTTTAGCAAGTGACTATGAGTTCCACAATCGAGAATGTCGATAGGGTTAGCAGCTTGCCTGAAGAGGTTGTTTCACACATACTCTCTCAAATGCCTATGAAATTCGCAGTGCGAACTAGCATTTTGTCGAAAAGATGGAGATACAGTTGGACATTGGTCCACAACCTTGACTTTGATGATTTTCACCCTGTCTATGGTTTGGATTGCTTTTCGAAATTTGTAGATGGAGTGCTGGAGCTTTGCAAAACACCTGAAGTTATATTATTCAGGTTGTGCTTTTCGGAAATTTGGGTTCGAAGGTCAAGTGCATCAAAGTGGATTAATGAAGCAGTTAGGTTAAACGTTCGTGAGCTCGATATACAAGTTATCCTGCTAGAGTTGCCTATCAGCCTGTTCACTTGCAAGACACTCACAAAATTAAGATTAGATTGTGGTGTCTTTGATTTGGATGTTTGGAACTGTCCATCTCCTGTTGCCCTTCCTTGTCTGAAAACCCTCGACATTGCTGTCTCTAGAGAACCTTCTGCCAGTGCATTCAAACTCATCCATGGCTGCCCAGTACTTGAAAGTTTATCCCTGCAAGTATTATGGCGCAACGATGAAGAAGAGTACAATTTCAATATCCCTACTTTGAAGCGATTGAGACTAATTACGATGAAATGTGTTTCAGTTATCAACAAAGTTGTTTTAAACCTCCCTAATCTTGAATACCTCTTTGTTGGTGGCATCTTGTGCTCGCTTTTTGTGATGGTAGATTTGTCGTCTCTGGTTAAGGCAAGAGTCTCATATTTTGAAGTAAGATTTAGCGATATGTTGGTTGAGCTTCTAAAAGGAATAAGTGGAGCTAAATCAATTTCATGGTCCACTTCAACTACTGATGTAAGTTTCCTATTTATAGACTTCAAGGTGTTGCTTTCTTCTTTTGTTTTCAAGGCTTTTAAGTTACGAGTATCCCTTGTTCAACATTTAATTTGTTATTTGTTATTTGTTCTCTACACTTCTGATAGGCTTGCAAAAGTAAAGAGAGAGTGTTTAGAGAAAAGAGAATTGTTCTTTACACGTCCGTAGGAGACCAATGACGGTCCGTTGAGGAAATAGAGAGTATGATGGTTGAGGGGGTGAGGACCAAGGAGGATGGGCAGACTGAGGAGAAAGAGGGAGGAGCAGGCAGCTGAGGATGGACATGGTGGCCTCAGACATTTCTGAGGACATGAACTCTGATAGGAGCTCTTGGAGACGTAGGACTAAGGCAGCAGACCATGTGGGGAGACCTGTAACTAACATGAATGTGAGGAGGGGAATTTGAAGATGGTAGAGGGCAGGCAAAGGGGAGGGGTGAACCCGTGACAATTAGGTAGACAGTCTACTAAATGCATACTCGGTAAGTGCTTACCGGGTCACTCTACCTTATGGAATGAACATGACAATAAGAGCGATAACAAGCACACACTTTTCTGCCACTTACCACACTCTTTTCTTGTTAATTTTTTATTTGCAAAGTCGGGGGTTTTCACATAAACATCATCTCTACCCCTTGGGATACACTGGTTCTTTTGATTTGGTTTGGTTTGGTTTGGTTTAGAATCTATATATCTGTTGTGTGTAAAAATACAAAGCAGAGAACACCTACAGCTACAACATATAACAACTTTGAATCGAGGTCATATAGTTATCAACTATGAATGATTCTTCTTCTCATGAATTCAACTATAATTGTGTGCTTGTTGAAGATACCATTGGATGCACCGCTGCCCAAATTTCCTAATTTGAAGCACTTGGATTATAAGGGTGGTCGTTTCTGGTCTGGATGGCCATTAATCCCTCAATTTCTTGAAAGCTCTTCAGAGTTGGAAGATTTACGCATTGAAGAGGTAACTTGGGCTGTTTCTAAAGCATTGACATGTTTTATTCTACGCTTCCAAGTTTTCTTTCAACATATAACATTTGGTTATCTTGTTTGTGGTAAAACAAAAGCTGGATGAGTCTTGCTGGATTGAGCCGCAGTCGGTTCCCACATGTATGCTAACAAACCTTAAAACCATCGAACTTGCAAAATGCAAGGGGAATAAATGCGATGTACAGTTCATGGAATTCGTGTTGGGAAACGTGGAGGATCCGAAGACGGTAACAATCACGTGCGAACGCTTGCGTCAAAACGAAGAGATGCGGTTTTGTGCAGAATTGCTAAAGCTTCCAAGGGCTTCCAGGCATTGTGAGATTCATTTTGTAGGGACTCGGTCTCGCACAATAATTTAGGGGCCTATTTACGAAACAGTTACGCGGTAAACACCTAACCGGGTCACTTACTATACTGGATAGACATGGCAAGGGGAGAGAATCTTACCTGGTAAGAGTGATGGCAGAGACTGGTAAATTTGTTACATATGATGCCGTTTTGATGTAATAGAATCTTATCCGAGTAAGGTAAGTAAAGTGTTAGTTTTGACAATCTGAATTCAATGGTTACTTGTAGTTATATTTTCATCAGAAGATACCATTTATGGATAAGATGGAACCATGATTGATAATATATATATATAGAGAGAGAGGGGTTAGTTATTATACAATCTTTGACATTTGTGCAACCAATATAATTCAATCTCAACCGTTCATTTCATTTGATTAATATGTGATTTTATAGAAGTTTTGATTATTTTTTAATATAAAGTATTGATCATAATTAATGAATCATATTCATCTTTCATAAATATTCAAATCATAATAAATGAACTCTCATTATTTCCATAAATATCTCAATTTGTTAGGTTGCATTGGTTGTACAAATACGACAGGTTGTATTTGAAATAAACTATATATATATATATATGTGTGTGTGTGTGAGACTGTGTGTTGCATTATAAAACACTAGAGTGGGAACCGTGTGTTGCACAGTAGTATGAGTACTTTGGTTAATAATTCGAAGATTGTCTGTATAAATATATGTTAGTTGTTAATAGGATCATCATTAAATAGTATCTAAATAATTTAAAATAGGTTTTTATTTTTATTATAGTTAAGTAATCAAAATGATGTGTTATGTACATCACCTCATTAAATCCACACAAGTAAAAAAAAGTCAAGGGGTTAACCGGTTTAAAAGGTAACAGGTTACCCATTGCTATAATAGGTGGATTTTTTAAAGTGCGATGTCTTAATAAAAAATAATTTGAAAGTACATTGTTGTAATAAAGAAAAACAAAAGTAAAATACTATAATAAGAAAAGTTATGAAAGTAGGTTGCTATTTCATGCATTTAACCCTTAAATAAATGAAAAAGTTTGTTTCAGACTTTAAAATAATAGTTTTGAAAGTTTGTTCCTCAAAATAGGAATTGGTGTAAAGTTGGTTTCATTTTGAACCCATGTCGAGGCCATTGATGACTTCAACATCAAACGTCGTTCTTAGTCTGGTCGATGAAGCAACCGAAGGAGGGAGAGAGGGAGAAGGGATTTGGGGAGATGAGATCGACATTAGAGAAGGGGGAGCCGACAGTTCTAGGAGGAGGGAACGATGTTGTAATACACGAATTACAAAAGTAGATATATTCATTTTTATTTTATAAATAAACTAGAAATTATATATATTTTTTTATTTTTTAATAAAATTAGTAAAAATAAAAAAGACTATATTACCATTAGAGTGAGGGACCGAATCCATAACAAAAATGAAACCACAATGATAATACTTGTAACTGTTTCGTTTATGGAACCCAATCCAAGTTATCATACAACCACAAGGAAATGAAATTAAAATAATGATAAGTTTCCTCCCAAACATGGGAGAAAATGAAAGCAAAGATATTAAATCTAATTATAAAATTATTAAAATTACAAAACTATCTGATTTTTCATTCTAAATGATATATTTTTAAAGGGTATATTGGTAAAAATATTATTTTTCCTTTTCTTTCTCTTTTATTTAAAACATGAAAAAGTATTTTTCTTTCCATTTCAAGAACACAAATAAAAAAAATCAATTTCGAGGGCACATCGTTAGCTTTTTAAAATATAATGATTATTTTAATAAAAAAATGAAATACAATTGTAAACGTAATTCATTATGTTGCAAATTCTTTGAATGATTGAGATGGGCGGCTAATCCCAATTCGGTAAGATGCTTTGCTATCAATCATATTCATACATACATACATACATACATACATACATACATACATACATACATACATACATACATACATACATACATACATACATACATACATAACGTTTAAAAAAGAGCAAAATACGAATATTTTTGAAATTGAAATATTTTGAATGCTTAGTAATTTGTATTTAATTTTTGTAAGTTGTTCCCTCAAAAGTTTTCAATAAGGAAAACTTTTAAATGTCTTATAATATCGTATGGATACATATTATCAATCATAGTTTCAGATAAGGATCGTGGATCTTATCCATAATATACTTTGCAGACAACGTCTACACGTGGATATACATTACAAATGTTATGCACACGTGAGTATTGAGTGTGTATATTCATATGTGAATATAACAATGTTCTGAAAAACGAGTTATGAAGCAGTCTTGCTGCCACGTTAACCCCTTTGGCATGGATATAAGGCGTGGAGCTCGTTATGGCCCATGGCGCAATTATAAAACTTAACTGATCTTAGACTAACTTAATGTTTGTTAACTTGGAGGACCACCAGTGTTGTCAAAATGAAAAATTAGGGACCATCAGTGTAGATAGTTTGTCTTAGGGACCAAATACAGTATTAGAACAAACCACAGGGACCGCCAATGTAATTCACTCTTTTATTTAATTGCAATTTGGAAAATAGTGATTCAAATTACATTTGTGTATTTTTATTTAATTAAAGAAATGTCATTTAATTGTGTTCTTTTTCCAACATTCTGTAAATTAAAAACGATGTTTAGGGGTTGTTTGTTTACCTTTTAATAGTTCTATTAAGAGGTAGTCTCTGAATCGTTAAGAGATGAATCTTGTTTGACAAAAAAAATTTTTGTCTCTTAATGGTTCTAAAACCCTCTTAATAATTTTGTATGTTGGGTCTCTCATAACCATTCAGCGCCCTAATTTCGTTGTAAATAATTACCAAATAATTATATTTCATTTTGCACTATATCATAAGAGCCTCTTAATCATTCTGACCACTTAATCATTTTGCACCAAACCATTCATCAACTGCCAAACAACCCCTTAGTCATTTTTTAACAAGATATCATTGGTTCTATAAATTCTTGAAACGTCGTAAAACTTTGATTTGGTTGTTTTTTCCTTCTTGGTTACCTTCGTCATTTGAAGTAGTATACGTAGACGCGATAAGTCAATAATGTTAGGTCTTTTCCCACTATCTATGCATTTATAGATTAATATCGTTGACACTTTAATGACATATGCATAATACAATGTACGAGCGTGTAAATAGGAAAAAACCAAGAGAAAGTACACGTAAGACACAAAAAATAGGTCGAACATCTGATCGTTCAACAAGGTCTGCACTTGAACCGAAGATACAGTGATAGACAAATCAAAAGTCGAGAATTGTAATTTTACGCTCAATGTGAATTGTATCCAACCATTATGCTTTTCGACCCTGTACGTAGATTGTGATATGAGTAAGATTTACGTCAAAATCAGCTTAGTGTAGTTTTAGAATTTTAAATTATACGTTAGGTTTAAACAGTTTGTAACAGCTTGAATTAATTAAGAAGATGTTCGGCATTTTTAGTGAGTCGTCTGTTTATGTATGATTTATGTGTTTCCAGAGGATACTGTAGAGAATGTTTGTAAACGTTGGGTCTTGTTGAGAAACTTCTTTATTTATTTTTAGTGAAGGTGTCAAAACTATAAAATTATTAAACTTGCGGACTGTTAACAGCAAATGTATGACAAAATTGTGGATCTTGTTCAGAAACTTCTTTATTTATTTTTTATTTTTTTTTAACTTTTTGACCACTCCACTAGGGGTGCTCAAAACCCCGATCAACCCAACCCAACGCGAAATAACTCAACCCGAAGCAACCCGATGTCTTGTCGAGTGGTAAAATTTTCAAACCATAGGTATTGGGTTGTTATTATTTGAACCCAACCCAACCCGATGAACCCGATATTCATTTATTTTTTGGATTTAATATTATGATCGTTGAATTTCTACTAATATATACATTAGACAGTTACACTATTATGTACACTCTTCATATACACATATTTTCAATATATTAACATCTCTATATAACTCATTCTTATATATGTTTAGTAAATGTGAACATATATATGTAAATTGAGAAAATTAAATGAATGTGATATACGTAAGAAGTATGGATATAAGTTGTATCAAATGGTTGATGATGAAAAGAAATTATGAGTAGAAAAATAACATATTCAAGGTTAGAAGAATATTTTAATGTACCAAAGTATCAACCCGACTAACGGGTTGAGTTGGGTTGGGTTAAGATTTTTCAAACCGCAAACATTGGGTTCGTTTGTTCAAATGTCTTCAACCCGATCAACCCAACCCATGAGCACCCCTACCCTCCACAAATTGAGGAGTTGTGACTTACAAAAGTAGCGACATTTTAATTAAAAAAATGGCTAAAAGATCAATTTAACTGGAAAAATGAGTATTTGGATGAATTTCCTAAAAAGCAAATTGCATGAAAAAGTAACGTACTTTAACTTGATTCTTATTTTGGGTAACGTATTTTCAAAACTTCCATTTTGGTACATAAGATGTAAAGTTTTAAACATTTAAGTACCCAGGTAACTGGTTGAAGTATTAACCGGTTATCATACTGATGTGGCGAGTGATATAGTATCCAACTCGGTATCATTTGTTGACATAGTCAGTGACGTAGATTTTTTTTAATCTAAAATTAGTCTTTTTTTAGTCTAAAATTAGTCTAAAATTAGTCTTCACTGGTTTACCCGGGTACTTAAATGTTTAAAACTTTATATCTTAGATACCAAAATGAAAGTTTTAAAAATACGTTACCTAAAATAAAAATCAAATTAAAATGCATTACTTTTTCATGCAATTTGAACATTCCTAAATATATATAACTTTATTACCTATAATTTTGTCACCATCCTTCCAGAAGAAACTTGGCTGCCATATCGAATGAATGGAACTTGGACCAAACCTTTACTAAGCAGTCAAAATATCATCAATCGATGCTAATTCTGTAATTTTTATTCATATAATATTTTTATTACAAGGAAGATTCTTTATTTTTTGAAATTAAAAATATTTTATAATTTACATTTTTTTTTATTTTCAAAAATTTCCCTTCTCTTGTTGTTTTAAATTTACCTTTTTGTATTAATTAATTTAATTAATCTTGAATAAATATAAAGTAAATTTATGAAAATATTGTATTTTAATAATTTAAAATAATAATAAATGTTTGTAATTTCAAAGATTAACGAAATGGTACTTTCCTCTTACAAAATGTTTTACTTAAACCAAGGTTTAAAATGGCATGAAACGTAACTGTAAGGTCGAGTCT